TGCCTGTCTTGGCAGTCAGAAACTGCTGTCCTGTGCCTGGTACACGTCCTCTGGGGTTCTGTTATGGGCATGGGACCACGGGCAGCGTTAAGCCGGGGTATCCACGGAGACTTCTCCCAGAGCACCTGACCTTCAGCATCTCACACAGTTGATGGCTCTTCCCTTTGCCCTCATGGATTTCCTGGATTACCTCTAGTCTTTCTGTCCTTAGCATTCTCTATACTTGGGGCACTCATCACAGGCAGAGGGGCACAAGGAGGCCGGGGTGGCTGCCGCAGCCTGTCTGAGGCGGGAGGAGTTGGAGACGAGGTCTGAGAGGGGGCCAGGAGTTGGCTCATGTCAGGCTTTGTAGGCCACTGTGAGGATTTTGACCTGATCCTGGCTGACGGGAGAACCGTTGGAGGGTTTGGAGCAGAGGAGTGATAAGATCTGATTTGCATTTTAACAAGATCTCTCAGGCCTCTCCGTGGATTGGCTGCAGTTAAGTGGGTGAGGGTGGAAGCAGAGGTACCAGCTGAGGAAGCCACTGAAGTGACCCAAGTGAAAGATGATAGGGGCTTGGGCCAAGATGGTAGCACTGAAAGAGGCAGGAGAGATCAATCTCAAGATACGTTTCTAAGTAGAGAAAACGTGTTTCACAATGGAATGGAGGGAAGTTATGAGAAAGAGGGGTGTCCTGAGGGATTCTGGGGTTTTGGCCTCAGCCCCTAGAAGGCTAGAGTTGCCATTTACTGAATGAGAAGACCATAGAGATTTGGGTGTGGGAATTAGGAGTTCAATTTGGACACATTAACTTTGAGATGCCAGTTAAATCCAAGTGAAGTTGTCGAATAGACAGTGTGTGTGTGTATACAGGGGTCATTTACATTTAGAAGGTGTTTAAAGCCTTGAAACTAGATGAAGTCACCAAAAGAATAAGATAAGACATCAGAGGAATGATCTGGGACTTTACAACAGACAAGGTCAGAAGAACTGGAAAAGGAGCAGGCGATGAGATAAGAACTGAACCAAGAGGAAGGGATGTTTCAGAAGCTAAACTGGAAAAAAAAGAATTGTTTCAACGAAGGAGTGATCAACTGTGTCAAACGTTGTAGGTAAATCAATGAGATGAGATTTGAGAATTAATTGTTGGTTTGGCCACATGGAAGGCATTGGGTTCCTTAACAAGAACAATTTTATTGGAGTACTGGAGATGAAAGCCTGAATTGGCTTTATTCAAGGTAAAATGGGAGGAGAGAAATTAGAGTATAGACAGTTCTTTAAAGATTTGTAAATTAGAGGAAAGCAAGGGGATCCTAGCTGTGGGGAGATGCAGGGTCAAGATTCTTTCCCCCTAAAGCTGGGACATGATGTAAATATGTATATTTATTGATGGCAATAACTCAGTAGAGAGTGAAAAATTCAGGAGAAAGCGGGAGAGTTGCTGGACGGTGTCCCTAGGGAGGCAGGAGAAGCTGAGATCAGTGCACGGTGGAGGAGTGGACCTTGGAGAGGGCAGACGGCTCCTGCATCGTAGAGGAGGAAGGCAGGCTGCGGACACAGATGCAGGAGCGGGTAGGGTGTGGTGTGGGGCATAGGGAAGTTGCTTCTCGGTGAAACAGGAAGCACAGTCATTAGCTGAGCGGGAGAAGCAGGAGGAGGTGGAGAGTTGAGGTGAGAGAGGAAGGTGCAGAATGGTCTTCTAGGAGAGTGAGAGTAGATGACATAGGAACATGTGGGAGGAGTGCTGGGCAGCAGTGAGAGTCCCCCTTGAAGTTAGTGCCATGAGTTTAAGGTGAAACCGATCAGTGGGATTGTGCGCTTCCTCCGTCTGTGGTCAGCGCCGAGGTAGAGACGCAGAGTGGGGAGAGGACTGGATTTAGCCAGGCTCGACCTTTGGCCGGGTGAATGCACTGAAGGGAGCGAGGCAAGGGAGCTGATGGTGCGAGCCAGGGCATGAGTCTAATGACAGATGAAGACCTGTGGGGGATAAGACAGTAAAACGACTGAGGATGGGTGGATTTTAGTTTCTGACGTGGCTGAAGGATCTGTGAAGTCGGGGTATTAGAGGACATGCTCTGGAAAGACAGGGGTGGTCAGTCAGAGAATAGAGAAGCCTGAAGTTGAGATTGGGGGGAGGGTGCAGGTATTGATGGTAGAGTCTAGGGCAGTGGTTCTCAGTCATGAGCACTTTGCCCCTGAGGGGACATTTGCAGTGTCTAGAGACATTTTTGGTTGTCAATACTGAAAGGGGAGAAGATGCTACTGACATTGAGTAGGGGTCAGGGATGCTGCTAAACATCCTACAATGCATGGGAAAGCCCTCAAGACAAAGAATAATCGGGCCCGATTGTCAGTAGTGCCAGGGTTTAGAAGCTGTGGTCTAGGGTATGACCGTGGGAAGGAGTGGCTGGGATTGGACCTGAGGATAAGATTATGGGAGAAGAGAAGATAAACAGAGAGACCAGAGTTTCGGAAAGTTCATCTTATGACTAATGGAATCTCAAAAATTATGACAAGAGTAATGTTGGAGAGAAAGAGAGCCAGGAATAAGAAGAAGTTAACTAGCTATGTATGGAGTCATTTTATTTTTCTGGAACTAGCTGATTAGCTAGAGTTGAAATTCATAATCCTGGCTCTGAAAGCTACAAGTTTAAATTAGCAAAAGGGTGACAGTATGTTTTTTTTTTTTAAAGCCATTTTTATCATATTTATTTATAATAAGGCCAGTTTGTTAGGCAGCTTTGGCATAATTAAATTAAACTTATCTTAACTAGATTGTCTAAAAGACATTTAGGGATTTGGGCAGTCTTTTTGGTTCAAATTCCATGACTGTAAACTTGGACACTTGGCCTAGTTCCATCTTTAAATAACATCTCAGGGTAACAGTTCTTGCAGCCAGGCCTTGTGGCAGGGGTCTGGTTGGAGAAAATCCTTGAGAAACTTTACTTACTGACTTTAAAGACTATGGCTTTCCTTGCAATGCCTATCACTCTGCAGAAAACTAGGCAGAATCACACAGACTAAATAAGGGTTTCAAGCCAGCACTGCTTCCTGGAATAAGCTGGTCACATCATCCCGTCTTGTGCTCTGTCCTTCATTTTCAGCTCAAGGGCCCGGGGCTGCTTTTCTGCCTACCGGCAATAGCAAGGAACCTCTTTTGTTTGCTTCTTGTTTGAAAGAAGGGCTTGTTTTGAGGTTTGGACCACAAATAAATAATCCATTGTTCCCTATAATAATAATCCACCCTCTTTAGCAGAAAAAATCTGCTTGATGCAGTGTGGCTATCAGTTTATTTAAAAGAATAGCCAAAAGTGCCCATTGTATCCTGAGAATAAACATTTGGAAGATGGTTGGGAGGAGTGGGGGGTGCTCTCATTCTCCTTGGCCTAGAGTCGTAGTTCAGACTTCAGGAAGAAAGAATTCTGAATGTAACCATCGGTCCTGGGTGACAATACCCTTCCTTATTCTGCTCGTCTGTTACGTTGTGAGAATAATTGGAGCACTGCAGACCTGGATCCTCTCCAAACTGTTTCTTTAAAAAACACCTTATTTTGAAGATAGGTGTTTTAATTTTTTTCTGTATTAACTCTAATTGTTTCTAATTTTAGTCCAAATAAGTTTCTTTCTAACTTTCATTTAGTCCATGAAAGTCTCTCTTTTTGAGTGAAGATTATTTTATTTTAGCAGCAACCCTTAATAATTCCTACAGTTGCCTCTGATTACAGATGTTGAAAAAAGAGCTATTTTTATATTCCGAGTGATAGACAGTTTAACTACTATTTTCTGTGCTTAGGCTAACTGAAAAAACTCGATGGGTAAATGGAAACGTGACCAGTGGGTGTCAGCTGTTTCTTGAGTACACGTGTGTCTAGCACACTGAAATCTAATGGTAGATAAGATTTCACTAATGAAAACAAGGTATGTTATGCTATTTTTTTTTGGCCTTAAATTGATTATAGGGAAAAGGTCAGTTAAATATTAAACATGGCTTTAAAATGAGGTGATATCTTACCTAGAATAATTTTAATTGCTTTAAATATGAAAGCTGAGAAGAGTTCAGTATGCTATCAGTTGAAATGTGACCGGTGCATATGAGAACTATTTAAAGAAATAAAACTATGGCCTCCACATCGTTAAAAACAGACCATCAGAGAAGCGAACAAGATGTCCTTCAGTAAGTGAATGGCTAAGCTGTGGTACATCCATACAACGGATGTTATTCAGCACTAAGAAGAAATGAGCCATCATGCCACGAAATGACGTGGAGGAACTTTAAATGCACATTGCTAAGTGAAAGACACCAATCTGAAGAGACTACATTGTAGTATGATTCCAACTATATAGTATTCTGGAAAAGGCAAAAATATAGAAGCGGTAAAAAGATCAGTGGCTCCCAGGGATTTAGGGGGAGGGAAGACAGGAGTGAGCGGGTGGCACACCGGGTGTTCAGGCCATGGGACTACTCTGTTTTCCTGTGATGGTGGATACATGTCATCACGCATTTGTCCAGACCCGTACATGTACAACACAGAGTGAACCCTAGTGTAAACTGTGGACTTTAGTTAACAACGATGGGACAGTATCGGCTCATCAATTGTAGTAAACGTACTGCACTCATGCAAGATGTTAATAGTAGGGGAAACGGGTGTAGGGGGGTGAGGAGCTATATGGGACTCTCTGCTTTCTGTTCAGTGTTTCCGTAAACCGAAAACTACTCTGAAAAATAAGATCTGTTAATTAAGAAGAAAACATAAATACCAGGTATAGATGAACTAGTAAAAGTATCTTCTCACTAAAAAGCAAAATGCACAAATCTGAGACCATCGTCAGTTTACCCTGTTTGTAGGAAGTACCTGGCTATAGAATGTTCTGCCGGCGATGTATAGTGCACAGTGGCGGTGGGTTACTGTATATGTCTAGTAACCTGTAGTTTTCTTTGTCGTCTTGTCTGATAAACATGCACCGTGGTGTTCCTGCTGCATCCACCCTGAAGCTCTCCTTTGTTCCTCTCTCTCCAGTGACTGCTGGCGCATCGGCCTTGGAGGTATATACCCCAAAAGAAATCTTCGTGGCAAATGGGACGCAAGGGAAGCTGCCCTGCAAGTTCAAGTCTACGAACATGACCGGCACGTTGACCTCCGTCTCCTGGAGCTTCCAGCCAGAGGGGACCGACACCTCTGTGTCGGTAGGGATGCTTGACTGCTCCCGGCTAGTCCTACCTCCCAGGGTCCTTTACTGCTGTGGTGTCATTAATGGTCTGGTCTTCTGATTGTTCACTTCCGGAAGGACCGAGCTTGTTATCTGTTAGAGACTTCAAGGCCCTTCTCTCTCTTCAGACTCTGCAGGAAAAACAGCTCAGCATCTCTTAAGTGCAGCTTATCTCCTTGGCTTTGCATGCCCATCTAATCTTGCATCCCCTAGCTCTGCTCACTGTCAGGCCCGTTTGAAATTTGTCTTTTCCACAGAGCAGCCCCTGACTGACCTTGCTGACTCAAATACAGTTTATCCTGCGTCTCTTCAGCTTTCATTTGCCTCATTTTTGTTTGTATTTCTTTTAAGTATTCATATACATATGTGTGTACACACACTTCTTTCTGATTTAGTTAGAAGTTTCTTGATTTATCTCGCAGTCCCTCTGATGCAGCAGTATTCATTGGGAGCTTACTCTGCGGTGGGCATGTAGGGTCTTCAAGAATGTGTAAAGCGCCATCTCTGCTCTCCCTCGGGGAGTCATTAGGAGTAAGAATGGCATGTCGATGACTTCGGAGTGACATGAATGCAGAAGAGAAATACGGGGCCAGAGTGTTGAGAGGAAGGCAGGTTAGTAACTGGACAAGTGCTAGTTAGCAGTGGGTGCTTGTTAAACACACTCTCACTGTCCTGATTCTTGTCTGTGAAGTGGAGACAAGAGAACTTCCCACACAGGGGCGTTCTGAGGAGAAAGTGGGTTCATGCAAGTCCAGTGCTCGGGACAGCACCTTCTCCTGAGGTGCTAATATCTGCGGCTCACTGTGCTTCTGTTCCGCCTGACGTTGACCGTCCTTGAACTTTAGCACAGACTTCAGCAGTGTCGAGCATTTCATGTTCTCAGGACTTGGCAGGGGCCGAGCCTGTCATTTTTCTGTCATTAAATGGATAAGTTCTTCTTTTGAATGATGATGGGTCACATTTGTTGACTGTCGCCTAGATGCTGAGTCTGTCCCATGCCTGTGTCATACAATCCCCACACCTTTCTGAGGAAGAGAGTCTCCCCACTTCCAGATGGGGGTGGGCCGGGCCTGACTCAGAGTTGCTCCTCCCCCCAGGTCGTGTCACACAGGCCAGTTGTTCAAGCCCTGTTTTGTTGAACTCCGGTTACTGTATTATTTCCCCTATATGTTATTTTCTCTCGCAGATGGATAAGTCTATTAATAATATTTATTGTCTGTAGGCTTTAGGGATTATTTAAAGCAGTGTTTCTCAATCTTTTTTCTTATCATCACCTTCCCAAGAAGCCTTTTTTAGACTTTTTTCCTAATTACTTCCCTTTCCATGAAATTTTAGTACTACACATATGCTGTGTATCTGTGCCTTATGTATAAAAAGAGGAAGATGTCTTTTCTCACCCTCCCCTGCCCCCAAAACCAGCGTTTGCCCCCTTGAAGGACATGTCGCCCCTAGTAAGAATGTGTGGCGCAGGGTTTCTGTAAGAAGCCCTTTCTTACAGCAGCTGTAAGGAAATTACCTCATTGCTACTATTCACCTGTGACAATTTTGAAGTGCCTTTTTTTCTTTTTTGCTCTGGGCCCTTGTGTTAAGAAATTACCCTCGATGCTCTTCCTGAAAGAGTAGAGGGACCACCTGTCCGTTGTCCATAGATTGTGAGTTCCTGAGGGTCTTCTTTGGGAAAACTTGGAGGATGTATAGAAATGACTGTGACCCCTGGAATAAAACGTCTTTCTGTTTGGCCTCAGTGGCTTCATTGTCATATGTGATACTACTGAAACTGTGTATTTACTGCTGAAATAAGTCTCCAGGAGAAAAGCTCTGTTGCCCTGGGTTGGGATATATACCTGATTGCCAGATTCTTGAGTGAACATGTGCCCCCCAGGATTTATAAAAAGGGAGGCCCCCTGGGTGTCGTGCCTGAGAAGGAAGGAAGGGTGAGGTAGAGTCAGAGATTATGTACGAATTCAGGTAACTTGCTCACCAGGTCCAGGTGGGTGTGATTCTGTGTAAGACAAAGTGCAGGAGTGAGTGAGAGCTGGAATCACACAGATGGCGTGGGGAAGCAGAATCAGAGGCATTCTCCCGCTTCGCATGAATGTGGCATCAGTGTTGACCATGGATCCCGTAGAAGCAGAGCTACCACACAAGTTACTCAGGAGTCCACAGAACTGTGTCAGCTTGTGAGTATTCCTGTCTCGAATCTTCAGAGGAGCAGGTGTGAGGGTGGTGTTTAGTCTACAGAAAATACGGTATCATCAGGAGACGCCCAGAAGTAATCACTTTCTTTTTAAAGATTTTGTTTTTCCTTTTTCTCCCCAAATCCCCCCGGTACATAGTTGTGTGTTTTTAGTTGTGGCATGTGGGACGCTGCCCCAGCGTGGCCCGATGAGCGGTGCCATGTTGGCGCCCAGGATCCGAACCAGCGAAACCCTGGGCCGCTGAAGCGGAGCGCACAAATTTAACCACTCGGCCATGGGGCCTGCCCCAGTAATCACTTTCTTTTAAAGAGTGGTTCCATTAGGTTCAACACATTGTTGTCATGCGGGCCGAGGCAGGTGTACATACCTCAAGACTCGATGTTAAGGACATGTTGTATTTCTAATTGATTTTTTTAGCTGATCGGTTTATACTTACACACCAACCTGATTACAGTTAATTCCAAAATGCTCAGTCATTGATATAGGATCTTTTAACTCCCAAATGTCGGCACACATTTAATAAGATGAGCAGGATGCTTTTGATTTTTGTAGATTTTCAGGAAAATTCAAGCCCAACATAGCATAGATGTCTTTCCTGGTCAGTGGAAGCAGGGTCCACATGTCCAAAATGGAGCTCGTCTGGTTGTCTGCTCTGCTGGTCCTTTTGGGGAGTTGTGTTCTTCTGGGGACCCAATTTTAAAACCTTGAGTTTTGTGGGGGTTTTTATGGTCCTTCCCTCCCCCATCTGGTGCTACTTCCCTTCCACCCGTCATATGTCCCCCTCCCCCCCAAGAAATAAGAGTGTTTGCTGGCTCTTTCTCCTTTGTTTCTAGCACCTAGCTGTTTGTCAGCCTTCCTGCTTCCCTGCTCTCCATTAAGTGATAAATACCGTGTGCCTGGACCAGTGCATAACCCCCTTGGTTTTTCCTCCACTTCTGTTCTTCCGTCTTTCACTCCAAACCTACATTCCTTCCGGTACCTAATCTTAGAATAGTTCTTTCACCTTGTCAGAAACTTCATAGCTTCCCATTGCTAACAATGCTTGTCTAGAATGCAAAACCCATAAAAAAAACTCAGTTCCAGCCTAGCACTTCAGCCCCGCGTCTATTCATTTGCGTGATCCCCATCAGTCTAGTAAAAAGTGTTTTAGGCTTTGTTTTCCTACTTCTGGACTCTTGCCACTTAAGTTGTACTGGCCTCTTTTGAGCTTTATTTATTTATTTATTTATTTTGAGGAAGATTGGCCCTGAGCTAACATCTGCCACCAATCCTCCTCTTTTTGCTGAGGAAGAGTGGCCCTGAGCTAACATCTATGCCCATCTTCCTCTCTTTTGTATTTGGGATGCTGCCACAGCATGGCTTGATGAGCGGTATGTAGGTCCATCCCCACGATCCAGGCTGGTGAACCCCAGGCCACTGAAGCAGACTGCACGAACCTAACCACTACCCCACCAGGCCAGCCCCATCTCTTGATGTTTTTAGCTGTTCTTAAAACTCACTGCCCCCATTATCTGGGCCACTCCTGTGATATGGAGTCCCTTAATGTGACAGTTTTTGTCGTCTTCATCTTGAATAAAAGCATTTTCAGGTAGAGACCTATCTCACATCTTTGAGATCCCTCATGGCTTTGGCACAGTGGCTTCTACTTAATAAATATTGGTCGATAAGGAGATGTAGTCTTATTTGTGAATTCTTTTTGCTGTTTCACTTCTCTCTTTCTTGCTGGTTTGACCACAGCATTATTCATCGGTTCAGTTCAGCAGACATACGTAGTTCCCGCCTTGTGCTAAGTGCTGAGGGATCCAGAGAGAAATACAATTCATACCCTGCCTCCAAAGGCACCCAGGCTAATGAGGAAGACTGAGGGAGAAGTGTGCATAAAGACACAGTGGTGGGAAACAATATAGTGGGGGTTTTCTTTGCTGGTTTAGAAATGCAAGGCAGGGAATATTTGTGGATGAGGTGGGAAAGGAAGACAGACACCAGATGACAGAAGGACTTGTTTACTAAGCTAAGAGTTTACGGTTTATTTCTTGATAAAAAAAAAAAGAGAATGAAGAGTTTTGAGCAGGTGAGATGTGGTCAGACATGAGAGGCATTACATAATGGAAATAGCCCAATCTTTGAAATCAAAGCTGGGTTTGAATTCTATCTCTAAGACCTGTGACCTTAAAAGCAAGTCACTACGTCCTCTGAGCCTCACTTTCCTCATTGTGCAATATCTGGTGGGTGAATCTCAGCTTACACAGAGGTTGTGAGCATCAGAGCGTTGTTTTCCACAGGTGTTTCACATTCTGCACGTCTTGTAATCAGAGGCACTGGCTGCCTTTCTTGTGCAGTGACCCACCTTGGAAGACAGAGACGGTGTCTCCATCTGGAGCAGAGACGGGTTTGCTTACTGTCCAGTATAGTAACGATAATATCTCCCTTTGGGGCAGAGGTCAGACAGGCTTACTGCCCATTGTAAAAGGTTTGCCTTCCCTAAGTTTGGGACTCCTCGGCTGTGATGCAAAGCCTCTGTGTGCACAGCTTCTGCCTGAGCCCCTCTGTGCCGTCCCTGTGGGATTTGGGGCGTCAGGGGCCACAGATATAAACATGCTGCTCGCTGTGTTATAAGTAATAAGGTCTTTTGTCTCCAAGTCTTCTTCACAGGAGCAAAGACTTCACAGGAGTCTTTTTGTCTTCTGCCAGCATCTGTGAACCTGTGGCACACTGACTTGTTAGCTCGCAACAAGGGTAAAATCTCAAGACCCTTCATACTTCTCAGCATGCATTTAAGTTAAATTAAGCACAGGGTATATATTTGATAAATGGTAATTATTATTATTACTGGTTTTCAGTGATCATTTAGGCATTGTGGAGGATGGATTGCAGGAGGTTGAGGCTGGAGTCAGACAGACCAGTTGAGAGGCCATAGTCCAAGATGATGAGGGTATAAAATTAGGTATTATCAATGGGAACTGAGTGGAGAGAACAGAGAACTGAGAGAAGGGAGGAGGTAGAATTGACAGGATTGGGAGCTTAGTTGCATGGGAAGGAAGATAGAGGAATCAAGGATAACTCCAAGATTTCTGGTTTAGGGGACGGGAATGCAGCCATCAGTCAAGATCAGATTCACAGGTCGCAGATGAAGTCTATAAGAGAAGGTGACAAACGTGGAGGGCAGGGGCAGCGGGCTGGTAAAGTGAGTTGGCAGTTGAGTGAGGAGACTAGCGCTCAGGGGACACTGTGGATGGGGAGAGAGGTTGGGAGTTAAAATATAGACGGTCATTAAATCTTGGGAATGGATGAGATTGCACAGGGATTTTCAACATGTACAAAGGGTTCCGAAAATGTTCTGTTTGAATCGCCAGTGGAACTTGGTGGTTGACCAATGCTAGTTTCCACTCCTCACCCCACTGTCACCCGATCCGTGAGTAAGAACAAAGGCAGCAAGGCTCCAGCAGAGCTGCTTGGATGGAAGCCGGGTCTCGGGATCAGTTCCCCACCCACTAGACCTCACCTTGCTCCCAGGGTGCTGAGTTTGACAGTTCCTTTGAGAAATGAGTTCCTTTGCTAAAGGCAGGTCTGAGAAGAGAGAACATTTTGGGTTATCTGGGCTTTGTTCCTCTCACATACCTATGACTTTTCTATGGGAAACCAGTAAGTAAGAGGGAGAAACCCATCATCCCATGGTGAGGCCCATGGTCTGTCCTGTTTAGGCTTCTTTTCCTTCATGTGTTTGTGTCTCTTAATGGTAAGCTTTGTGAGTTGAGACGAAAGCTGTGGGTTCGCTGGCTGAGTCATGGTGAGTGAGCATTGGCTCTGAAGAGTCAGGTGGTCCTGACCTTGATTCTGGACCCAGCACCTGTTACCATTGTGACCTTGGGCAGATGGCTTCTGTGAGTCTCCATTTCCTTATTTATAAACACATGGGTGGTGATCACTACATCACTGGGAGGTTGAGAGGATTGGAGGTGATATACGGGATTATTTCTTCAACTGAAACAGGATTGAACCCCCTGATTTCTAACCTCTGTCTGGCTTAGGTTCCATAGCTTGAGATTTGTAATAAGGTGTATTTCTTTTTGTATAATGTCTTTTTTAGAAGAACCTTTTGCAACATGCCTGTTACAGAGTCTGGAACTTCTGCCTTTGAGAATAGCTCATGTGTTCTTTTTTTCTAATTGCAGTTTTTCCACTACTCCCAAGGGCAAGTATATCCCGGGAATTATCCGCCATTTAAGGACAGAATCAGCTGGGCTGGAGACCTTGACAAGAAAGATGCATCAATCAACATAGAAAATATGCAGTTTATACACAATGGCACCTATATCTGTGATGTCAAAAACCCTCCTGACATTGTTGTCCAGCCAGGACACATTAGGCTCTATGTTGTAGAGAAAGGTACTTCCTTGAGTATTTCTGCAGTAGAGATGCAGTCCCCTTTATCTCATGTTTAGTTGAAGAACAACACTTATATCCCGGGAGTGTCTGAAAGGAGTATTTTTGCCATACTGTCATGCTCCCTGTTTCCGTGGGCCTGTGGCTCTACCACACGTGCCGGGGCGGGCGGGCAGTGGGGGCCTGCGCTCATTCCAACCAGAGCAGCCGATTTCTCCGTTTCTGTGCCTGCTGTCTGAAACCTGTTCATCCCATCTCAGGAGTATTAGTTTTCAGTGTTAATTAGAAATAAGACCAAAATTCATTATGGTTGGAGGGGATGGGTAGTGGGAAAGACAGAAATTAATATATCTTGATATTCTCCAGGAGAAAGTTTTAACATTTGCAAAAACAGTACAGCTATTTCTTCCCTTTTGTGAGAATAAGCAGAAAACGCAGATTCTGGTGTCTCATTTTGAGAGGAGGTCTGCTTGGTGGAGAGTAGATTGAGGTAAATTTACATCCATGGATTTTCCTTGAGTTTAGAGCATTGAGAGGGGTTGTGTGTAGAAATGCTTAGATCTGTAGTTTATTCTTTATCAGCACGTCATCAGTTAGATACCAGGATCTCAGAATTTGGATAATAAAAGAGGGTGTCATAACTACCAAAGGAAGACACTTGCTTATTAATTTAATAAAATTCCATTTCTTCTCTCTGTTAGTGATCACCTTAACACTATTTTGTTCTTTCTCTCTAGAGAGTTTGCCCGTGTTTCCAGTTTGGGTGGTGGTGGGTATAGTTACTGCTGTGGTCCTAGGCCTCACCCTGCTCATCATCATGATTCTGGCTGTCCTCTACAGAAGGAAAAACTCCAAACGGGATTACACTGGGTAAGAAACACTGCTTTGTAGGGGAGGGGCGGAGGGAAGGAATCAGAATTTGTAAAAACTGTGTTTTTTATGGAGAAAGAATTGTGAAGCATTAGCTACTGTTTGCTTTCATGCCAGAATCGGACATTCTCCTTCAGAGGTGTTCTGACTTTGGCAAGCTGAAATCAGAATAGAAAATAGAAACCTGCTGTTAAATGTGGACTGTGACACGAATCCCTGCTGTACAGTTTCTTTCTCAGGTTTGGTGACATGAACTGCTCAGCAGTCTGTGCTGTGTGGGTCTGTACCATCCACTCTGCAATTAGCATTATTAAGGCACAGACATCACTTAACCAATTGAGGAGGTTAACTCTAATCTCTTGGCAATAATCTCATAAGGTTCTTCTTTCCACTTGGGCAAATATCAAACTCTAATCAAGACGAGTTGGGCTAATAAACGACCCCCACCTGATGCGATGATGTGGGGCTTTTCCTTTTTGTAGTTTGGTGAGCCGTTTTATTGCTTTGACAGTTCTTGAATGCATGGCTGGCCTCATCCAAGCTGAGATAATAAGAGTTGAACACCAAAATATACCAGCAGTAAAGAAAAGTAGAATTCCTTTGTGTTTATGGCTTCTCAGAGAGCACACACTTGAACACAAGGTGTGTGTCTAATTGAAAGACCTTCTCTTTTGCCCACTCCAGCTGGAAAGCTGACCATATAAGCTCTGTAGAACTCATGTGGTGAGACTGAGGGGAAGGCTGGACTCCAGTCGAGGTAGCACGAGCTGTGGCCAGGTGCATGGGCTTACCTAACCATCCTGAAGGGCTGTGATCTGAGAGGGTTGCATGCCCTGGACTCCCTTGCTGGTGGACGGTGGGAACCTCCCTTTGGGCTCTGCTGCTCTAGTTTTTAGGGGTGCTGTGTTTTAACGAGTTCAATTCAGGCATTACTTGCTTGGAATGCTTCTCTTCTGCTGACTGTGTCTGCCCCCTTGCATGGTGAGCGTTTCATGATGAAATATAACTAGAGTGTTGGTTTTCAACATGAGACTAATCCAGGCTGGTGGCATGCCAGTCTCTGTAGTTCTTGCTTTTGGGTTAAGAAAGGGGCAGAAGAGTGTGCCTCCGAGTCCTGCATGGCATCGTGAATGCTGCTGATCTTCTCACTCTGGTTTTTTTCCCTCTCCTGCCTTTTCTTCCTTGGTGTGCCGGGATCAGATCCTGCTTATCTTCCACTTAAGAAAAGCTGACATAGACGACACATTGGGACTATAACGGGGCTGGGTCTCCTCTTCCACTCCCACTAGACACATGGTAACTAATCACATCGCCCGTTGCTGTTAATATTCACGTGTATATATTCAGCCTGTCTCCCTTGTTGATGACTAACTGGCTAGCTCTGAGCTAACCTAACAGCAGTTATGGTTTGTCCACAATATGTCATGTGTCTGTAATTAGAAACGTGTTGAGCATACCATCCCAATAAAATTGGGTTGTCAGGTTACATAGAAGTTTTATGATCATCTGAATATATACGTTCTTCATGTAAAATGCCTTCGTGTGTGTGTGTTTTAGTTTTCTTTTCTCATACCTGAATAGTATTACTGGTGATTGAGCCCCTCTTCGTGTTAGAATACTCAGACCATTTTGGTTTGGGGTGTATGGCCTCCCATCTCAGAGAAGGCACAGTTTGCAGAATGCATATTATGCTTTGGTCTTAGTAGCAAGATTTTAAATGTGATCTTCTCTCAGGTCCTAAGATTTTTTCCAAAAATACATTATAAATGATTTAAGCTTTGCTGATGGCACATCGCATTAGGGAATCCTGGTGACATTCACGCTCCCTGATTTATTTATGAGATAGGGCTTGTTAAAGACCCTTGTATCCATGAAAAAGTTCAGCCTCTGTGATGTGGCTTCCACAGTTTTTTACCGTTCCTGACTTCCTGGGTTTTCTTTGGTTTGGCTGTGGTATTGGTAGGGAAACAAAATATGGAGAGCTGGGGAATGGAAGGAATGAGATGAGCCAAGACTGGAAGCCTGGGTGTCTGTAATTTTTGAATTATGTTCCGAAGAGGTTTGTCTTTGATAATTACAAAAACAAATTGCCATTAAGAAGGGATAGCTTGCTCCTTTAAACCTTTATCCCAAAGGAGGGTTGATGGCAGGGGACAAAGACCAAGCAGCCAAAGGATAAGATGTGTTATTGTAGCCAGAATGCCCCTCAGCAGATGTCATTAATGTAAACTGGGGCGTAGGGTACACCATATTCGTTTCTCTTCCTCCCCCAGAAGTAGGTTTATTGACTCGGAAGAATAAGTGTCAGGGATAAAAAGTAGTTTCAAGCTATGTGATCATTTTGATACCCATTGTTTTGTTGCTTTGCTTTTATATGTCTACTGCTTCATCTTGTCATCACTTGCATTTCTATACTTTTGTTTCCATTAATTTTAATTCTTTTACATTTGTTCTCCAAATTCTCAACTCACCAGCTGCAGTGCATCAGAGAATGTGTCACCGGTTAAGCAGGCTCCACGGAAGTCCCCCTCCGACACAGAGGGTCTAGTAAAGAGCCTGCCTTCTGCATCTCACCAGGTAATGGCTAATTGCAGTTCTGCCCACCGCAGCTGCTCTGCTGTCTGGTGCTGTCCCTCTCCTGAGTGAACCGTGAGACAGCAAGAGAGTGAGAGACAGACAGAGAGAAACAGAGAAACAGAGCAAGAGCGGGAGAGGACAAGTGAGAGCTGGTTAGGAGGACCACGGGAGACTGGAGAAGAGTCTGACCTGAGGAAAGATGTCCACCAACCACCGCTGACAGACGGTTTACTAACGGCGTGGCTGCTCTGGCCCAAGTAGAATTAAGAAATGGCTTGCTCAGGTGTAAAAGATTCTTCCTTAATTGCACAAGTCTAGTGGACTAGAATCTGTATTGAGGTGCTCCGTAAGACAAGGAATTAGCAGGAAAAAGTTGATATTCTTGGCATTGAAAATAAAACAGAAAAATTATTTTGTATGAATTTTTTAGAAGAAATTGAAAGTAAGCATTTATCTGAATAATTAGTAGGCTTGATGAACAAGGAAAGGCTTTGGTTTCTACTTTTTGTAGAAAAGACGAATCCCTTGCTTTGGAACTCGGCACAGAATCTAGCCTGTGGGTGGGATGGTGTTTTGGCTGTGCTGTTGTAGCTGTGCTTGTGGCGTGGCGGAACTTCCGTAGCTTTGTAGCAATTCTGTTCTTCTAGGGTAGAAAGCCTTATAAGGAATTTCGCCAGCTATGGCTTTGTCCCGAGGAGGTGTTGGGGGGGATGGAGTGGATTTAAGAGGAAGCAAAGAAAAGAATAACAGTGTTTTATAGAAGTGCCCGTGGTCTGATTCCACAGTTGTTGTATGTGGTAGGGAAACTGAGGTATTGTGATGTTAAATTACTGAAAGCACGTACCCAGTTAGTGACAGAACTGGGGTTAGAACCCAGGTTTCTGCACAGCATGTAATCTGTCACAGCATCAGGCTTTTTATTTATTCCTGGTCTGTCTGTCTCCCTGTCTCTGGGATCACATAGTAGACCTGAGGGACCTCATGTTCACAAATTTGCGCTGTGGATGGGAATAGGGTTGGGAATAAAGGCATGAGAGTCGTAGAGAGGCCTAACAGCTAAGGAAGCCTTGGAAACTGTTTCTTCTACCCTTGACATGCTTTGGGAGTTGCTCATCTGTTGAAGATAAACTAGAGAAGTAAAAAAGAAACCACGGTTTTTGGACATTGAAAAACAGGTTGTGCAGCTCTGTGATCCTATAGAGAAAGGAAACAAATAAGGCGAGCCCTGTGATTGGCCCAGCTTGCTGCCTTGAGGCAGTTTCCAGTCTGCAGTGCGGGGAAGGCAAACGGAGCTTAGTTGTCTCCCGAAAGTGAGGAGGCAGAAGTCAGAGTTTGAGGAGGCCAAGGTGCCTAGGATTTATGAGGCAGAGTACCAGAGAAGCAACCACACAGACAGAGGAAGCTTTGGAGATCTGGAGTGGGGTCTCCTTGAGCCCCTGCTGAGTACAGATTTGTGCATGCGGGAGAAAACTCCTGTGACCAGAGAAGGAACCACATGAAAAGCCGGGGGTGGGACAATGCCTGGAGCTCACACAGGGCTGGGAATAGTTTGTGTTCCTAAAAGCCAGAGTGGAGAGAGGGTACTGGTTGGAGTCCTCAGAATGGTCCTGCCTTAGTAGTGGGGCTAAATTAGCACCAGAATGCGGATACCATGGACCCTCCAGGACAAGGCATAAAAGGAGCCTTTAAAGAAGCAGACTAACCTAAAAGTATTTTAGCTGCATGTCAGAACAAAGTCCAGCATGCTCTACAAGAATACAACGAAATTTAGCACCCAACAATGTAAAGTTCACAATGTCTGGCACCAATAAAAAATTACAATACATACAAAGAAGCAGGAAAATAAAATACTTAACCAGGAGAAGAATCAGTCAATAGAAACAAACCCAGAAATGACAGAGACCATGGAATTCATAGGCAAGGACCTTAAAACAAGTATTATAAATCTTATAAATAGAATTTATAAGATGTTAGGAAAGCTTGGCATAATGAGGAGAGAGATAGGAATATTAAAAAAAAAAACAAAATGGGACTTCTAGAAATGAAAGAATGTTCAATGGCGTAAACAACAGATTAGACACTACAGAAGAAAAGGTCAGTAAATGTGAAGACATAGCAACGGAAAGCATCTGAAGTGAAGCATGAAGAGAAGGAAAGATTGCGGGAAATGAACAGAGCTGTAGTAGTAAGCCAGTGGACAATATAAAGCAATCTGATTAGAATCTGAGAAGGAAAAGAGAGAGGAGAGTGAGAAAAAATTTAAAGAAATAATAACCAAGTGCTTTTCCGTTCTTTTAGCCATTTCTTCTGGTGTTTATCTTCATATTTCTCAACAACTTTATTATATTGCTACTTCTAGATTTTTCAGTTTTAGATATTATATATTGACTCCATATAATGGAATATGAAAATTTAGTTCTCTTTTTCTCCCAGCACTTCTTCCCACCATACATGTGCATACACGTATGTATACACATGCTGCTTCCCACCATACATGTGCATACACGTATGTATACACATGCTGCTTGCCACCATACATGTGCATACACATATGTATACACATGCTTCTTCCTAGTATTGTTCACACCATAGTTAGGTGGTTATTGTTCACTGTTACGTGTACTTGTTTTTTTCACCATTGTACCATATATATTTGCTTTCTTATACAGTTTTTTTGTTTTTCGTAGAGCCAATACTATAGTGGAACATATCCTCCATAACTTCTTGAGAAAAGATGCACAGGAGGTAAAAATTTTGAGGCTTTGTAGGATAGGCAGAATCATGACTTCCGAAGATGTCCACATCCTAGTTGCTGGAACCTGTGGGATATGTGACCTTACCCGTCGAAAGGGGCTTTGCAACCACGATTAAGGATGCACAGATCTGGAGTGGGGAGATTTTCCGTGTGAGCCAAATGTAGTAATAAAGGTCCTTATAAGAGGGAAGCAGGAGGGTCAGAGTCAGAGAGAGATTTGAAGATTCTATACAGCTGGCTTTGAAGGTGGAGGAAGAGGTCACTAGCCAAGGAATGCAGGCAGCTTCCATAAGCTGGGAAAGACAAGGAAGCAGATTCTTCTTAGAGCCCCAGAAGGAACACAGCCCTGCTGACACCTTGATGTTAGCCCCGTGAAAACCATTTCGGATTGCTGACCCTCAAACTGTAAGATCAGACGGTTGTGTTCAGCGTGTCTAAAATTGCTTTTATTCTCCTCCCTCAAGCTTGATTGGTAGTCTGGTTGGGTAGGGTTCTGGGTTGGCAGTCATTTTTCTTCAGCATTTTCAGGCATTGCTGATTTTTCTAGCTTCCACTGCCAGGAAGCTAAGAAGTTGATACTTTTCTGATTCCCGCTCCTTTTTGCGGGACCAGTTGTGTTCCCTTTCTCTTAGAATCTGTTTTATCCCTGTGTTCTCAAATTTCGTATCCCTCGTGTTCTGAAATTGTGGGTCTTTTTTATTCATTGTGCTGGCTAACTCAGTGGGCTCTTGCAGTCTGAAAACTGTGTCCTTCAGTTTTAGGAAATTTTCTCCCATTCTTCTTTGGAACTTTTCCTCCTTCCATTTTCTGTTCTCTCTTATGGAAACTCCTATTAGGAATTAGGTCATCTCCTAGATCAATCCTTTAGTTTTCTTTTTTTTCTGTTTTGCAGTTTTTGTTCTGCTTTTCAGAAAATTTCCACAACTTTATCTTCCAACTTTTACTGAATGTTTTGTTTCTGCTATCTTGTGTTTTTTTTTTTTTAATTTTCAAGAGCTGTTTCTCTTTTCTCTGATGATAGAGCCCTGTACTTGTTTTCACGGAGGCGTTGTCTTATCGCTCTGAGCATATTATTCTTTCTTCTGTTTTGTTTGATTCTTTTTATGGCATCTTCTGTTACTTGATTCTGCTGTCTCTTTTGAATTCCCTTTTTTCTCTCGTCACTTCTGTCTTTCATGTTAGAAGCCTTCCTCAGATGCCCAGCGGTCCTTGGTTATGCATCCTATTTGGGGCACTCAGATCTGGTCAGAAGCTCCTTGTGTAGGGGTAGAACTTCCTGGGTGTGGGCATCACCGTTTGTATGCAGCGCTGGCTGGCTTTCACTGGGGGACCTCCCAGTGTCAGTTGCTGGATGTCCTTTGTCTTGGGTTAGTCGATTTCTCCAGAAAGAAGTCCTCTCATTTCCTGCTTGGGAGTTGAGCGGAGGAAGGAGAGGAGGGCTGACTGTTCAGTGAGTGGATGTGCCCACCCTGTTGGCAGTGTTCCCACCTCACCCTGCTGTGCCTGAGTCAGAGACAGGCTCCTCTCTCCTGTGAGTAAACCCCCACGGCTCTGCCCAGGCCTGGCTCCATGGCATTGTCTGAGGCTGGTGAGAAGTAATTCAACCATTGGGTCAATCCATGTTGTCATCTGTCAGCATTTTCAGTACAACACTAGATGTGTTACAATTGAGAGTAGAATTGGAGTAAAAATTCCTCACAGGTGAGCCCTGGGTGCTCAGTGCAGGCCCCTCAAGGTCTCTTTTCTCCCCAACGTGTTACAAATCAGGGTTTCTATTCAGGTGGCATGTACTGGAGCGCCCTTTGTCTTACTCAGCTATTTTTCATCAAGTTGTACTGTATCTTTTAGTTTATAATTTTACATGTTAAAACTATTTTCTGCCTTACCCGTTTCTGGAACTTATAAGTCCTTTGCCAGTTAACACAATACTTGGAAGTGGACCGTGTGATGTCCTCACAGATGTCTTCCAGTTTTTCTTTGTTTAGGTTTGCATTCTGTGGGCACGCCAACTTACAGCAGGAGCTGCTCTCCCAGGGTTAGATCGTTTGCTTCAGACGCTCCGCAGAGCGTCGGCAGGGATCCCAATGGACACTTTTAGGCCATCACCTGCTGCTTGCAGGCTGTGTATCCGAAATACCTCCCTTTCAGAGCCCCAGAGTATTTTATGGGGGTCGTTCTCCCCAGAATCCTTACGATACACTCTGTCTTCAGTTTGTTCGAACTAAGGCACAGGTTTTCACAGTTT